GGGGAGGCCCGCCGTCGGAAAGCCGACGGCTCGGTTTCAACACCTGGGGGGGGGACCTGGAGGCGGAGGGCGGTTTTCGCTGGCGTGTGGCATTCCCCTGCTGTGCCCCTCTTCCTTCCCCACGGCCTCTGAAGTGGTTGGCACGTAGGAACCCAGCCTCCCCGCTCAGCGGCTCGACCCCCAAGGTGAATTCTGCAGCGAACACGCCTGTGACGGCGTTGAGTTGGCACCCGCGGGAAGCCACAGACAGGAGGGGGGCGGGTCCTGAGCTGTCAATCACAGACCCCAGAGGAAAGCTTCGGATGGCTTCCCCCCCCAACCCCAAATACTCCAGGGTTTCGGCTAGCTGTATCTTCTTGCTTGAGGGGGTTCAACCTATGGGCCCAGCGGATTGTCCTCTCAGGCTGATCAAGGTTCTAGGGGATGGGAGACCACAAGGAAATCCAAAACGATGGCCGGTTGAGCAAACCCTCCAGGGGCAAACCATGACATTTACGTGCCTGTGAACGGTTGCCGCGTTGCAGAAACCCACGGTTTGTTTAACTGATTTCATAAGCCACTATCGGCCGGGCTTCGACACCATTGAGCCGTAAAAGGGGGTTATAATTTTACTGAGCGTAAAAGGGGTTTACAAGGGGCAGGGGGTGGGTCTGTGCGACATATTAAACCTGAAGCTAAGCACGCAGTGACCATTCACACAACGCATTCAGCTGGGTTTCCAAACAATCCCATCTTTGCACCCTAAAATATCCAGTTGGGTTGGGTTCACCCAAAGCTGAAAACCCCTGCCCCCCCCAAAAAACTAACCAGGATGAAAACTAATCAGGTTTTAGTGAACCCGGGCACTAAGTTGGTGAGTTAATTAAACGTGTTGGGGAAATTAAATTCCCACTCCAAGCTAAGCAACAGGCTGGCTGTTGCCGTCACCGCATCTCTGGGTTTCAAAAAAAAAAAAAAAAAAAAGCAAAACCTGTTGGGTATCTGCCTGCCAAACACCCCCTTTTAAAAGCATAAAGGGATTGATTGACAGAAATCCAAGGGGGAATCCTTTAGCAGAACAATGCAGGAGCGCCCTCTGTTGGCAGGTCTGCAAACGTCAGACAAAAACTTGAAATTTATACATTTGCAAAAGGGAGGGGTGGCTTAGCTGACCTCCACCCCCCCATCCCCAATTTGGAATCGGAACACCATTTGCACCGTGGCGTCAGAGGAGAGGAGACTGCACTTTGCACATGCTCAGGGGTCTGCTTCTTAGAGCTCCCCACGCTTCTGCCCTTCCCGATGGTAAAGTTTCTCAACTTCCAAAGCAGGAGGCTGACTCAGCCAAACGAGCAAGCAGGAAACCCAGCACTCTGTGCATGTTCAAGGGCACTCTTTATTTGATTTGGGGAACCAGAATGTTAATCTTACACCCTGGATCATTGTAAAACAATGTAATAGATCCCCCAGCTTAAAACCTTTAACATTTATGTGCATAGCTGTGTGTATCCGTGCATTTGAAGTCAAGGTTTTGTCGACAGAAAACTTGGGTTTGCACTGATATTACTATTTTTTCTTTCAAAGTAACCACAAAACTTTTTTCTTTTTTTAAAGCAATTTAATCTCGAAGATCTGCCAGAGGAGGACTCCGTCCTGCCCATTCCTTTTAACCTACGTCGCATCGCTATCCAAGCTTCAATCCTTCTCAAATCTTTTCCCCCGCTGAGTTTTGGGGCAATTGAAGATCTTTTCCTACGACCACCCCGCGATGGACCGACTTCCTTCCGTTCCAGACCAGCTTTTTCTTCTCATTTTAAACACTTAAAACTCCAGAAGGAAAACGACGGGTGATTCTAAAGCTAGCTCGTTTGCTAGAACCATATTTTTCAGGAATGCTGGATGGGGGCCCCAGATGAAATGGATGGAAAAATCTGCACGGCGCTAAATAGAGGGATTCGGGCCCCGAGGACCCCCACTCTGTTCCTGGGTTACAATATTGCATTGCCTGAAATTCCTTCCCCCCAAAATAAAAACGGCCGGATCACCCTTGCATTGTATAGCCTACCTCTCTTTTCTTGTTTAACTCTGTGTCTCTGGTGCCTTTTTCATACATTCCTTCTTCCCTTGACTTTTTTCCTGCTCTTTTGGGCCTCAGCGTTTTTCTTCCGTTCGACGGCTCCACCAGCCTTTTCACCCCACTTGCCTTCTACTGAGAAAAAAAAACCCTTTATTTTTCTGCCTCTTTTCTGAGTCCTTCCTTGGATTAGAAGAAGATTATTCCAATTTTTTCCCCCAGTCACCGTTACGCTGAAGGCACTTTGAGTAAAAATTTAACTACTAAGGAGAAAAGAGGAAAAACTAGGGGGGAACTGGGCCTGGAGATACAGATCGAGTGATTCACAAACCCAAACCACTTTTCTGGAGCTGCTGTTTCATTTTTGAGCGTTTTCCTTCTTTTATCCTAAATTGGGGCAAGCAGGAAGACGACTCAGTGCTAGATTTCTCAAGGGCGGGCAGAAGATGTTGATGCTATGTTAAAAATGGATCTCCTCAGCAGCGATTCGGAGAATGGGGTTTCCTCTTTCAGCCTCAGTAGTGCTTGTTTGTAAAATGGGCACCTTGGTTGAACGCTTTGGACTGGCCTGTTCTTGGGCGAGTTGCCCTCCTTTCCTGCTCAAAGGGAACTTGGATGTAATAAGATGAAACGGGGCTGTTTCTGGCTGGCCGACCCCAGAATTGGAACAAATCTAAGTTTTCCTCTGATGCTCTTTTTCACACTGAATCACTAGTTGTTAGTCACTGTTGTCAGCTAACCTGCAACGTGTGGTGTGCGCAACCATTTTCACTTGCCTCTCTACCCTCTGCGAATCTCTCACTTTGAGCAGATCCTCCAAGTCCTATGCCTTTCCGAATGCTGTAAATGTCTAATAGGTTGTCTCTGCGTCTTTCCCAAAAAATAAAATACGAGGGGGAAAAACATCCTGTTCCTTTCTCCTCCCCACTTCCAAATCCTCAGCTCCAGAAGCCTGCTGGCTTTCAAACGTCCCCGGGTGCCAGAGCGTTGAAGCCCAGTGTTGTCCATCTGAAATCGGAAGAATTGGGCAGGACCGTTTCTGGATATGGGGAGCTGAGGCCGGTGAGAGATCAACCAATTGGGGGAAGTGGATTTTGGAGATGTGATCTAGTGCTAAGCAGGATCTCCTGCTTTGTAAGGGCCTCTGTTTTGCCTGCTACTTTCCTTGAGTGTTTATATTCCTAAAGCAAGAGGGAATTCAGAAGAAGAAGAAGAAGAAGGAAAAGCCACTGAAAACTTCAAGAGATCTCCAGCAAAGGAAGCTAGATTCTTCCCTCTCTGAATTATCTACGTTTGGGAGCAGGGCTATGACACAACCCCCTTTTTTGTTCCTTTCCCCCCCCCATCTGCTTCATCTTGGGGCATTCAGCAGCACTTCCAGCCAACATGGACAAGAGGTAATGAACCTGCGGGTGTAAGAGGGCCCCCAACCTTTAGCGAAGCTGATCCGGACGGTGTGCCCGTCGTGGGGACCGTCGCTGGTGCCCTGACGTCTGGCCGCCAGGTTGGTGGCACGCTCGTAATCAAACACTTTGATGCAGTAACCCGGAAGGATTTTGTGGACCGGAGGGGAGAAGCTGCCCACCGGCCCTAGAGTGGGGGAACAGACAAAGAGGGGGTGTTCGCTGCGGTTGTAAGCCCAGACGCCACTCGCTTCTTGGCAAAGCAACAGCCCCCGGCCGATCTTAGCCTGGGTCCTCCGGACAGCTTGGCTGTGACTTCGGGATGCAAGCTGGCCCAGGCAGAACCCGCTGCCGTTGGGGAGGTTGGAGAAGATGCAGACGTACTCTTCATGGACGGGGTAGAGCCTTCCCACCCGTAGGCGATATTCCCAATACGCCAGTTTGCACCAGTAGCCATCTTTCAGAGAACAGCGGGAGAGGGTCGTGTCTGCAGAAAAGAAAAAGCCAACCGTGAAAGGATTGGAGATAAGCACCTCCGAGGGAAAGATGTGGGAAAGGCCTTGGGAGACGGGGCCAAGAAACATTGCCTGGGGAACGGTCAGATAAGAGATGGCTTAGCCCTCAGCTGCATAATGGGCAGAGAAAGAGGCTCAGAAGGGACCCTCCCTAGTTTCTCGGGCTGTAAAGGAGACGGAGGGAGAACTGTACTTTCAGACCTGCAAGATTCTGTCAATGTAGCTTTACCATAAAGTAGAATTCGCTCATCTTGTGGTTTCCTGTCTGATCTACATGGTAAGGCTGACATCAATCTTGCAATATGGGGGACCTTGGGAGATGGGAAGGAGAGCCACAGGCTGGACAGCATGTAAAAGGTATCTCAGCCCACAGAAGGAAAAGGGGCGTGGGAGACGTTTCAGAAGGGGCCCTCCCTAGAAAAGAGGAGAGAAATACTTCCGGTCTTGCAAGAGTCTCTTAATGGAACCTGATAATGAAGACAGAGACAGTGCTCCTGATTATACTTCTTATCTGGACTACCTTGCAGGGCTATCAGTTAAATCAGGGTTGGGCACTGGCTGGCTGGCTTGTTCTGAGACCTCAAATCCTCTTGCTGCACGCACACGAACCGAGCAATGCTCAGGAGCCATTTTCAATGCCTGCCCCTGGCTGGAACTCCAGCCATGACATTATCCTTGCCCATCTTTGGCACTGTGTCTGAATGCAATGGTTCTGCCCCACTCACCCAACCCAGCCAGGGGGGAGTGCGGACCCTGAAAGCTGCTGGGGCCATCGATGTGGGCGTCTCTGGGGAGAGGCAAGCTTGAGCCGTGTGGCGGAGCTTCGGGGTAGCACGTAGGCGTGGGATTTTCTTGGGGGACCCTGCCTTCAGCTGGGAAGAGGAAAACAGACCAGGCGCCGAGGCTGCTTGGATGTGGCTGGGTGGCCCGGTGCCAACATTCAACCCTGCTTTGTACGTCAAGAGATTGTTAGCGTCTCTCTGGACCGCACTTCCTCTAGCCTGGCGGGGACCAGAAATAAACAAGTGAGCCGTCTGTCTGTGTTAAGGAATGAGGAACGCCCCCATCGTGGGGTTCCCTGTTCTTTTCCATCTCCTGGGCCATCCACAAATGTGTCACACCCAGACAAACAAACCTTTCCTCTATTTTTCTCTCCCCACGCACTGCATCTTTGGAAGACGCATTTTTCCTTGGTGGGGGTGTCCCTTTGGAAGAACTTAAATAAAATGCAGCAAAGCTTTTTGACCCCGCCGAACAGTCTGTGCATTGCCCACTTAGCAAGGGTGAGAAACCAAAGGCCATCGCACTGTCCGCATTTGGCAGGGGGAATGGAAAGGATGGGGGGGGGTGTAAAAAAGAGGATCAGGAATCTCAAATTGACCTGGACTACAGGTTGCCCAATCTCGCTTTGACTTTTCTCAAGCAGCGAGCATTTTGGGAAAGGTAGTTGTCTTGACTGTGTGGCGATCCAGCAATGGAAATGGGGCCGTTGTTCAAAGCAAGGAAGCGCAAAGCAATGTTTGAGAGCAGTTTTCTGCCAAGCAGGTGCCTTCCTCACGCACCTTACAAAGGAAGTTGGAAAGGAAGGAAGCGCTTGCCGAAAAAATTACATCGTCTTGAGAAAAGCAGACAGTGTCCGGCAGAAGGTCAGCATAACCCTGCCTTGATTTTGTTGGGTATAAGACGGAGTAGAGAGAAACTTGGGCAAACTTCCAAGAATCTGTGATTCTCCCTTACTACAATCAACAGCGTTCCTGGAATCGCTGCTAGGCCTGTTTCATCCACCCCATGTCCTCGGTGCTCACCCAAGCTGGCTTCCCATTATGAGGGACCCCAGCAAATGGAAAGAGTCTGCATTGATTGCATCCACTCTCCTGTGCAAGAGCTTGGGGCCCTCACATCAGCATCTTTACTCTGGGTGTTAGCTGTGTCTTAAACAATGCCCCCCCCCAACAAAAACACAGCACAAAACCTTCCTTCTCACCTTGCCATCCTTTGCGGTTGTTTTCCAAAAGGCTGGTGCACTTCAGTGGTACAGCAAAAGGGGAGATCTTGCAATAGGGGGGTGGTGGGGTGTCTGCAAAAATTCCAAGCAAAGATCCGTGAGCAGTTTTGAAATCAGCCCCTTTACAAGAGGCACGGTACCCCAGTCAAGATTGCAACCTATGTGTTTGCTGTTGCCCTGCCCTGCTTCACATAACCCATGAACTCCTCAACCCGGGTTAACAAAAGTGTCCTTTGGTTTATGGGTTATGGTTTTGTTTTTGATCATTTGCTATCGCTCTTTTATAAATTGCAGGTCCTGCGTCACACCATGGGCTAAGCCATATTTTTGCAAATTTGGCCACAGAACTGTCCAATTAGGCAACCCCTTGCTGGTCTTCAGGACTGTGGGATTGAAGAATAAACTACGATTTAGCCAATCCTGGAAAACCAGTTGTGTGAATACAACCACGGTTTTGGACCTGGGAAGTGCTAAATCCCCCCCCCCTTTTTTTCCCAGGCTACTTTACCCATTTGGACAACTGAAGACCAACATTCGAGCAGCTTTGGACTGAAAGCCACGGTGACCTGAACAGAAATGGGCATTTTTGTTTTTTCCTCATAAACTGTTGCGTTCCAAGCATGAATCAGGGCGCACGGAGATGTTATTTTAATCTGGAGCCGCAGTGACTAACAGGTAGGGAGGAATCGATTTCAAAACGAGAGGAATCTGGAGGCGGTGACTGCAAAGTCCAGAAAGATCAGCGCCTGTTCTGACACTCGGAGTGAAATTAGAAAATTCAGGCTTCGGAGCCTGGAGGTAGAATGAAAGAGGGGGAGATTCTCCGCTGAACTTCATTCTAGAGACGGATTCACTCTGGGGGTTCATCTGCCTCTTCTCTCTGCATCAGCACCGCCATCCACTACTAAGAGATTATCGGTCTACCTTACAGGGAGGAGGTAAGGATGATTGGGTCAATGGTGGCAGAGCGATACTGCCCCAATGGGCACAAATCTTGCCCATCCAGCCTTGGGTCCCCACGTAGCTCAACGCAAAAGGTATATGTGAGGGGACACCCTCTGAAGTTCTCAAACCCTCATTGGTTTCCACACCAAACTAAGCTGGACTGTTGGTGGCGTGCCCCTCCAGCTGCTGTGGACGGCTCACAGCAATGTGAAAAAAACACTCTTGCTATAGGTTGGCCTGGATTTTCTCCCTCCCCAAAGCTAAACGGGAGATAAACTGATCTTTGGATGAACCCAGACCAACAGAGGTAAGGAAAGGGTGACTTTGTTTACCCTATTTGCACCCTGAGCCAGTCCTGAATGGCTCTGTTTATAGGCAGTCCTTGTTTAGCGACTGCCCCGTTTCGCTACCATGGTGATGAAAAGGCAACTTTGCCACCAAGCCTTGCATTGATGGCCTCTGCAGGTCTGTAAAACGAAGGAAAGGTCGTAAAATGGTGATGTTTCACTTAGCGACCGCTTCAAGTGGCCGTCCGCTAAATGAGGACACCTGGACTGAATTCACACGTCTTGCCAACCTGGGCTTGGCAAGCGGAGCTCTGCACACTTTGGGGTAATGCCTGCTCCACTTGGTGTATCGCTGTAATGGGCATGTGGGAAAGACCTTGGGAGACAGGATGAAGAGACGCTGTGGAGGGAAAGGTCGGATAAGAGACGGCTTAGCCCGCAGCTGCATAACGGACAGAGAATAAGGCTCAGAAGGGACCCCATACCCACCGGGGAGAGTGAGCCGACTAAGGTGGTGCGGGTTGCAACAGTGGATGGTGCCCTCGCCCCCAGCGCTCTTGCAGAAACACAGTCGCTTCAGCTCATGCGGTTGCTGCAGGTCCGGCCAACGATAGAGGCGGCAGAGGAGCAGCGAAGCCGAGAGGCTTGGCTTGGCGCCGCGGGGCTCGACCCAGACGCAGCCCGACTCCCCGGCCCCCTGGCTCTCGACCGCCTGCAGCAGTTGCTCCAGCTCCTTGTCCTTCAGCTT